AAATACTAGAGGGGGAGAAAGGGAGAGAACGAAAGAGAGAGAGAGAGAGAGAGAGAGAGAGAGAGAGAGAGAGAGAGAGAGAGAGAGAGAGAGAGAGAAGGGGGGGGGGAGAGACGTCAGTATTATCCCTGCACACAAAGATGACATAAGCCTATTTAGCGTCCGAATTACACAGTACCTCGCTTGCAATCAGCGGAGAAAGCAATGTACTGTTACTGTAACGACGTAAAGCATTTTATGACAATCTTTTTCCTCTGTTATTAGTGTGACACTGATGCTTCACTTCATTACTCTTAGTCTTAGTCACAACAGCCTATAGTTGGAAACATGAAATCCTTGTTCTGCATCATTTGCCTTTGTCGTTGTCAGGCTCTGTCTTGAAAGTGTACATAAGTAGTCGGACGATTCCCATTACTGTAGCAAACAATGTATGCATTTAAGTGCTTCTCTCTTTCTCTCTCTCTCTCTCTCTCTCTCTATCTCTCTCTCTCTATCTCTCTCTCCTCTCTCTCTCTCCTCTCTCCCTCTCTTTTTTTGTGAGTGTGTGTGTGTGTGCGTGTATGTGTTTGTGTGTGCCTGTATCTCTCTATCTCTTCGACTCACGCACACTCATTCACTCACTCTCTTAATCACTCACTAACTCTTTCTCTCTCTATCACTCTCTCCTTCTCTTTCTTTCTCTCTATCTCCCCCTCTCTCTCTCTCTCTCTCTCTCTCTCTCTCTCTCACACACACACACACACACACACACACACTCACACACCTCAAACACACAAGCAGATTCTTACAAACGCATGCATTACGCACTCCCTCACATACAGACAGGTATCTAAAATATCAATGATGAAATTTGGCATGTACAGTGTAAGTCAAATCAGACTACACAAAGATTTACACAAGCGCTATATGCCTACTGTTGATCCAGACCCATACATGTCCAATATGTCGTGTTTGTTCTCATAGCAGGTCGGCCTTTCTAACTAAATTCAGAGCAGACCTGAATAAAAACTAGCAGATACGAGGGGGGCTCTCGTGGCCTAGAGGTTAAGGTGTTCGCCTCTCATTCAAAGGTCCCGGGTTCGAATCCGGGTAGCGACCAAAAACATTTCTTCTCTAAAATTGTCTCCTTTCCTGCTCTCTAGCAATGTTCTATTGTCTGCTTTCATTTCCACTTT